CGTGATATTTTTCTTTTTTTTAAAAAATGAACAACGAAGAATTGTTTTGTTTTCTCCCATAAACATTAATTTTTAGAAAGATATACAAAATATAAAGCTTGCAAGTTGTACTTTATAGTTAATTATTATGTTGCTTTACTTTAGGAGCTTGATTTTGAATGCATCCGCTCTTAAGCTATCATCATGCTATTAAATCAGGGTAGCAAGTCTCACAGCCATTGTCAAAGATCAAATAAATATTCGGTTAGTCTAGTGGATAATAAGGTCTACTCACTGATTTGATTGCTTGGACTTAAACCTAAGGTCGGTGCATAAATAAATTAATTAATTTTTTAAAATTATTATGCTTACTTTTCGTTTTTTTATATATGCATGGTTCTCATCGTAACTTAATCTCGTTATACACAAAAATGACCACCAAATGCTGCAAGTTGGGTCAACTATCTTCAAATAAGCTAAATTTTATCCTCACTTGGCCAATGGGTTACTTGATAGTCATCTCTCTTTAAGAAACTTTTTAACCTTAAATTATTTTTAGAAAGGTAAATTTAGGAATATGATATTTATATGTTTGGTTTAATTTTTAAAAAGCATTATCATTGATTCCCAAAATGTTAACATTCTCATATTTTTCCACATCTTTGTTAATGTGATGAACGGTGGAGTTAGAGCCAAGATGTGTGTATAAATAATAAAATGACAAAGATATAAATAGTTTAAGTTAAATTTGTTCCTGAGTGCCACTAGTGAGTAAATGTATCAAGAAGGAGAGTACATTGTGAAGATTATTTGGGTACTTGAAGAAATCGTCAACTTTATAGGTATATTCCTATATGTTTAAAAGCTAAGTCAACTTGACTGTAAATATCTTTCTCGCTTAACATTCTAAAGAATGTTATGACAATTTGCTTTTCTGAATTGTCTGCTATTTAAGTTAAGAATTGAAACGTTTTAAGTTATGCTAACATCTTAATGCATTACCATCTTATTGAAATACCTTTTCAACACGAAGATATAAGTTCAACACCATTTTACATCATATGCATATAGTTTTAAATCATAATATAATCACCTTACACCCATACATATATATATAGTAAATTTTTTAATGAGAATATAAAAAGTTACTGTAAAACTTTAGTAAATTTTGTAATATCCTTAATTTGTCTAATATAATAAGAAAATAATTTTAAAATTAAGAAATTTTTTTTTAATTAAACTCATTTATAAATTGAATACAACATAAGAAAATATAAAATATTTTATCTATTTTATTCAAACTTATAAAAATTTAATATGATACAGTAATGAGAATTAAATAAATTTAAAAGAAAACATTAAATAATCTTAATATAGATTGTTCTTATAAATTTATAAAAGTTGATATTTGCAAAATATACCTCAAAATATATTAAAACTCATTTATATCATTTATGAAATATAAAATATAAAAAGTTTTAATGAGCATTCTATCCATTAAGATATTGAAGACGATCTAGTCATTCTCGTACCATCCCTCTACCTCAGTAAGGTCTTTGGAATCAAGATCATCATCTGATCTGAGATAGAGATTTTCAGAGTCTGCAGCGGCTTTCACACTCAAAATTCGCTCAAAGGTGACTTGAGTCAGCCTCTAAAGAAGGCCATGATTGTGATAAGTGAACAGGTATGTCATAGCTGACAAAGTTCTAACTGTGCCTTGATAAAGGTATATACATAGAGTGTGGTGGATCTTATTGTTTATAGAATAATTTAAAGACATACTATAGTATAATTCCATTTTCTTCATAATAATATTCCTAGGTATATTGTCCACGTGTACAACAAACTTAAAATGACAAGTTCTCTAATATTCATTAAATATACAATCTAACTTACATTGTACAAAACTATTTATAAGTCTAATTATCTCTCTAAGTGCAGTTATCCTGATTTCCTAAAAGGTTAGATAAAGATGAACCTCTATTCTCATTACCAAGTATACATCCATAATTAAGTCATACAATACGAGCAACAATAATTAATTATTTAGTTTATTACATTACCTCTCTACTAATACTCGTAGTTCTCATTTCACACTTTCACTGCCAATAGGATCCCTTGAGCTCTTCTTTAGTATAGATAATTTCTAGATAGTCGCAGCTACACAGATACAACATGTGTTGACTTGTCCCTTTTTAGCAAAAACGTGCTCTTACTTTTAGTTGTTATGCGTAAATCAAGAAGAGCAATCACCATCCTCATTTCTCTGAGATTTCTCAAATTGCCTCCATCTTCCACACTTTTGAGTATATCTCTGAACTATCCATAGTTGTTCTTATCATTTCCCTTCTCTTTTCATATTTTTTGTCAAAACCCAACTTGGCATTTCTACCTTAATATTTTGTTCATCCTTTTCTCTCTTTTTTTTATTCAAGTTCATTTTCTATATCGCATACCAATCAAACATTGTCGAAGGTTGGTCACACCCAGACTCAATCCATAACATACATATATAGATATGCTCAAAATATACATCATTCACATCATCAAACACATGAAAACATGTTTCAATCCAACATATATTCATAATCATGCATCACACTACAAACCCTTTCATGAGTACAAATATAACAGATAAAGCTCTCATTACCTTGAAAGGGAAGTTTAATAAAGGGTTTATGAGAGATCTTGCTCAAAAGGCTAGATTCTTCTTAAATATCATAAGAAACCCTTTTTAGAAGTGAAAAATAAAAAAATAACCAAGAGAATGAAGAACCAAGCTTCAAGAACTTACCAAAGAACAAAAAGAGTGAACTCCCAAACTTAGATCAGAGAAAAATTAAAATTTTTCAAGAATTTTTTGAGAAAAAGGAGGAGAGAGGTTAGAAGAAATGGAGAAGGGTCGTAACTTGGATTATAATCTAAGTTTCTCAACTTAAAAACTCTTAAATACCTCTCAATTTATGACATTCTCGCTATAGCAAAAACTTCTCACTACAACGAGCTCTTCTCTCGCTGCAGCGAAAAAAATCAGATATTTTTTTCTTTATTGTCTGTTATTTTAGTTATAATGAGAGTTCCTTGCTACAACGAAAAAATCCTCGCTACAGGAAGAAGGCTTCAGAGAGCCTAATTTTAAACAAATTCTCTCACTATAGCGAAAGATCCTATAACTTACAAATCTAAAACTCTTCTAATTTCAAACAACATGTATTAACAATCATTACCAAATATAAAATTAATAAATAATAAAAATAGAGGTATTACAACTTTCATTTCTATTTATGCTTTCAGTTTTAGCTGCCATTTAAATTCTAAAAAATAGTCAAGACTATTAAACTTTAGTTAGACACATTTTTATAAAATACCCTAAAATAAAATGATTACAACTATATATTTATGAAAATGACATTTTCAAACTACATTCCTAAAACTTAAAACAAACACCCAAATTATGGATGAGTAGCCGGGACACGGTAAAGTACAATGATTGAGAATCTTAGTGCATGAGTATAATAATAGCTAATTCAATCGTAACAAATAATTAAAAATATCAAAATTTTAAAAAATTGTTTTAAAAAAGAAGGTTTAAAAAGAGAAAGGAAGACAAATTTTATATTTAAATATATATATATATATATATATTTAAAATTAATATTTTTTAAGGATAAAAACATAAATCGGTATATTAATATAAATTTAATATATTAATAATGTATTTATTATTATAAATATATATAATTTTTTAATTTAAAAATAAAAATATATTCTCCTCTTGTTTTCTCTCCTTTAAATTTTCCTCCCAAACATTCTCCTGGAATTTTTAAAGACCGTGTTTAATTTAACGTTATTAACCCTGTGCTGCTTTACTGGTGGCACATATCTATACATATCTATATCTTGTGAGTAATATTCCTGCTGATGGGTTTTCAAAACATGGGATTAATAACAACTCTGGTTTTGTTAAGTTTAATTGTATGCTTTCGTTTATTTATTTTTTAAAACATATTTCTAAAGGTAAATAAATACAAGTTTATATATAGTAATTTTTTATTAAAAATCATATAATTTATTAAATTGATGCATTGATAATATTAAATATTGTAATTTTTAATAAAAATATATTATATATAATTTTTTAAAAAAATCAACATTTTATCAAGGATAATTTAGAGTTCAAGGGGTACTATATATGTAAGTCAAAGTTCACTAATTTATTTAGAGAAATTTTTTTATTTGTTTAAAAAATTATTAAAAGAAAATTTTAAATAAACTTATAAGTTAAGTTTGACTTTTCAAAAAGTCAAGTAATACCTTAAAAATACCTACTTTATATTAAGTAAATAAGTCTAAATATAAGTAAGTTTTAAATTTAGAAATAAGCTTAGAATTTATAAAATCTAACTCATCTCGACCCCATTTTACTCCTTCTAGTGAGGTTATAGTTTGGCTGTCAACCCCTTTCATTCATTAAAAAATATATATATAGTAAAAGAGGCAGTGGGTACACAGCAATGACAGACAATAGAGGATTTTTGAAGATTAAAAATAACTAAATATTGTTTTTTTAATTTAAAACGACTCATTAAATAAAATATCAAACTAAAATATAAACTGCTAGCTACAACTTATTTATCTCTCTTCCTTCAATATTATTTGTCTCCTATCAAAAAAAGAATTTACGTAATTTTATAATATTAAACTATAGTAATTCTTTCTTTTCGTCTTCAGGGTGAATCATTCACGTGTTCTAATTATATCCTCAAATATGCGCTTCGACAAATTGGATGTGAATGGAGTGTGATATTATGAGTTATATTACCTAACTTAATTGAAAAAACATGAGAGACAAAATTCGATATCAGATAAATATCAATATTTATATATGACTATTCCTTGTACGTAGGAGTTATTTTTCTTTTCGATTTTCATTCTAAATCAAAATTTCGGCTTAGAATATGCATTTTGATATTTGCTTGGCCAGACAAATCAACATCGTACACTTGAAGTACCAATAGAATCCCACTTAAAAGAATCTTATAATAAATATAAAGCATTTTTTAAACACTAAGCACTATGAGATTTACAAGATTTTTGCGGTGTCCAGAATGAGTCATCCCCAAACAATTTCATTTACGCATGCAACTAAAGAATAAATAAATAACACATAAAGGAAGATATCAACCGAATAATGGAAATAGAATGATTCAAATACGAACACAGAAACTGATTGAAGGGATTCGACAGCCAACGTGTCCCCTCTACAATAACCCATTAATCTTTATATAGACAACACCAAAAGTTGTTTAAATAATTATCAAATTTTATATACGAAATTACAATAGAGTCATTCCTTCTTTGATATATGATATTTCCATTTTTTTCCACCTTTCTCACTCACTCATTCAGACACTTAAATATTTTTATAAATGATTTTTCCTTTTTCACGATAATTACAAATTAAATTCTGCCAAATAGTCTCATGTCACGAAACAAAGAATCGCCGCTTCAGGTGCCATTTCGAACTCTACACTCTTCCAACGAGCACGACAAAATTTCAAACTTCAACAACGAGAAGGGTACTTCCGGAACTTCACACTACGGACACAATACAATTACCAAACTGCCCCTGAGATTTTTAGTAGGGCCACGAAATGAACTCGTCGAGATCAAACTCGTCCAACGCCTCTTCCTCCTCCTCATAACGCTGATGACACGTCAGCATAACGTTAACCTCCGCCAAACTTAACGGCGCGTCGATGCGGAACCCAAAGGCGTCCACGTCGCCGTAACGGAAGCCATCAAACGGCGTGGAGTCGCCGTCGTAGGCCAACACGGACGTCGGCGAGGCCACTAAGTCGGAGTACGAGATGCCGCCTTCGCTGCTCAAACTTTCGACGGGGACAACCGGCGTCACCGCCGTTTCCTCCGCCGGCGTGAGGGGGAAGTTAGTGACGGCGTTGGGACCTTTTAGCTTCAACGCCATCTTGTCGTACTCAGAGGCGGCCTCCTCCGCCGTGTCGAACGTTCCGAGCCAGAGGCGTTTCCGGCGGGTCGGGTCGCGGATCTCGGCGGCCCACCGGCCCCACGGCCGCTGCCGGACGCCGCGGAACTTATTGTGGCGGCGCGTGGCGGCAGATGGCGGTGTTGGTTTTTTGGGTCTCTTGAACTTGTTTGGGTTTTGGTCGGAGGAAGAAGAGAAGGAGCAAGTGGAAGTTGAAGAATAAGGAGAAGAAGAAGACAACGGGGAATCGGAGAAAGGAAGGAGCATGTTGATTTGGGTGATTTCTCTCTTCACTCTTCGGGTCTTTGTTGGGTTGTTTTCTCTCTCTTCATCGGTGGATGAGTCAGAATCGGTGGCGTCGTGGTCGGTGATTATGATCCGAACGAGCTTCCTTTGGGGTTTCCTCTTGGTTTTGCATGGTGGGTCACCTTCAAAATGGGAACTTGGGGTTGCAAGCTTCAGCTGCTGGTGCTTCAGTGTTGACTGTACGGACATGCCTAAAGGCTTACAGAGAGATAAGGGTAAGAAGAAATTAAAGGAGTGTTCTTTGGTTGTGGTCAAGGTTGGTTGAATGAAATGAGTGAGGAAATATAAAAGGGTAAGGGGAAAGGTTGGGTAGTGTTATAGTGCATGAAGATGAAGGTGGGTTTCAAGAGTGAGAATTTTTTAGGTGAATAAGCGACGCTGGGTGGGTAGGGGAAGAAGGGTGATGGGGGAAAAGTGGATCTAGTGGAGAAGCAGATATCCTGGAGGAATTGAGACGTTTGGGAACTTTTGGTGGTGATGATGCGGAAAGAAACCAAGATATTATATATGGGTAGAAGCAAAAGAAATAACAACTTTTGCTTTTCGTCTAGAGATATATTCCAAGAGAGAGAGAGAGAGAGAGAGAGAGAGAGAGAAGAGAATATGGCCAACTTTGGATGCGATTAAAATCTCACTCCACTTTTACTGGAAGATTACACTCACACGGGGAGGGCGTGAAGCGAGTATGGGAGAGAGAGAGAAGAAGAAGAAGAAGGTGGGGTTTTGGCGGGAAGGCAGAGAGAGAGAGAGGGAGAGAGAGAGAGGGAAACGAGATGAATGAGTAGAGGCAAAGGGGTATTTATAGTGCACGGGGTGTTTCTCTATTGGGCTATTGAGGAAAATAATTTTCTCGTGAGAGTGGGTAATGGAGTTGGAGTTGGAGTTGGAGTGGAGAGTGGTGACTCGTGAGTCTATGCTATGCGTGTGCGTGTGTGTGTCTTTGTCGGGAGTAGAAAATTTAGCTTCCAGGTTCCAGCTGCCTCTGATGTCCGTTTCTCTCAACTATAATCCCACTCTTGTGTTGTTGTGTGAGAATTCCACTCATCTATTCCTACTCCCACCCTTCTTATCCTTATTCACGACAATCACAATGACCCATTTCACCTTTACTCTCCTATATTCATAATCTATATAATCATCTCCTTTGAAACCTTCCTTCATTTTATTTCCTTTTTTAATTTCATAATCCCAAAGGCGTGCTTCCTAATAGGGCATGGATGATGTCACCAGAGTGAACTTTATTTTACTATTAGCTAATGGTTCATTCCAAAGAGAAGCGAGACCCAAGTGAGGTCCAAAGAATCCTCCAAACTTTACACGTTGGTCAAGCTCGCACCACCCAAAACGCAATTGACGAGCCCCAATTATGGTAAACTTTTTCTGAAAAAAGAACACTCGCTATTCTCCAAGATTCAGTAACGTTGAAATTGCGCAATTGCTGTGCCTTTCTAGTTTTTACCAACGCCGTCCAATGACCAAGAACCACGAGAAAACAACCACAAATACGTAAAACAAAAAGTAAATGTTACTAATTGGTAAATTTAAAAACATAAATTAAAGAGTTAAGAAATATTTTTTTTATTAAAACATATATTTTAATTAATAATCTTAATACACTGATTAATAAGATAAAAAGAAAAGAAAAGGGTGTTGTGAGTGGTGACTATAACTAACGACACTAGTTGGGTTTGTCCAACTCATGATGACCCTGCCTATGCCTGTAACTCCTCTCATTTGAGTACATTTTTCTGCGTTTGTCCACTTGGGGTTTAAGGACACTGCTCCGCTGTAAGCATTAGTTATCTGCTACAAAGATGGAATATCATTATGCACAGACCAAAATATAGTGGTAGCCTAGAAAACCCTTTTTGTATTTTTAACTTCAAAGGGTGATGCTACCTTTTAGCTACTTGGTCTTGAACTTTACACAAAAATTACCGCAAATGTGCACCGGCTTACGGTGCCAGTGTGTTAATATTTAAGATAAGTTGTGAATTTAAATGTGTCACAAATGACATACTGATTTAATATAAAAACAAAGCCAATTGAAACGAATTCTTTTGCTTTAGACACGATTATAAGTTTTTATTACCCTTTTTAAATTTTTTTATTTTTTTTATTTTGTATAGGTAAATTTTGTCTGATAATAAATTTTATGTATAGTTTGCGTTAAATTTTTTAGTAGCTAAAGAAGTGATATACGTATTTAATTTATTATACGGATACCATTGACTAAAATAAAAACAAAACATAAAGGTGGAAGACCATGACATACCCATGTCTCCCCTAGCTCCACCTGACCACCTCTGCTTTATTCGAAAGGCAAATGAACGATTTCCAATCGTCAAGGATGTGTGTGGGGTTTTTTTAATTATAATTATCGTAATCAGCTATGGACACTTCTTCAACGGTAAATTGTCATTTTTAAATGGCGTTTTGTCGAAAAAGAAAAAACATTTTGTATTTGTAATTATTGGTTGAAAATTTAAAACGTTTTATACTAACATGCTGTAAATTATTTTGATAAAATTATTCAAACAATAATAAAATGCTTAATAAGTGTTTATTATAGTAAATATGTTTAAATAAATTAAAAATGAACTCTTTTAAGGACCGATTTAGGTGTTTTAAATATTAATTTATATTAAAATAAAATTTTACTTTGATAATCCATGTAAACTCTAATTTTAATTAAAAATATCACAAAAAATTTAAAGTATTATATTTAAATTTTATTCATTTTATATATGTGAAGTATGGAGAAGTTGACTTTAAAAGTAAATGTTAGTGTTACCTAGTACTCATTTAAAAAAAATTATTAAAAATATTACTTCTCCATCTTTTTTATAGGAACAAATAACTAAGTGATCAAGACTGATAAAAAATAATTATATATCATACATTCGTAGTATATACTAAAAATATTCATAATAATACATGGTTAAGTCGGTAAGTATTACATTAAATGAATGAATCACATAGTAAATAAAAGTATAAAAAGAAGTTAATAATTAATGTATCTAAAAATAGTCATCATTTCATATATTTTTGACAAAAAATTAATTTTCTTATAAATAGAAGAAAAAGATTTTTAGTTAACAACATCCGTATTAAATCATAAAGCAAATGCTAACGAGCCCATTTAAGTCCCTAATTAAGTAACTAAACGTTGTTTTTTTCCCTCAACATTATAAATATACCTTATTCCATTATTTATAATCTAATGCAAATTTTAATAAAAACGATAATTTTAAATTTCTTATCTTAAAACACTGGTTAGTCAGACCCAAATCATAATGACGTGTGACGATGAAGTCTTTTGAGGATACAGGTGATGGCTAATTTCAATGAATTTGTGGAGACGAATTCTACTTTTCAAAGTAATCCCTGGAAGAGACACATTTGACAACAGTTGTCCTATGGCCGTGTGTGGGAAATAAATTGTTTCCAAAATGCCACTACATTATTGAGATTATATGTGGAAGGAGGAATGGGTATAAGTTGAATTTGAAAAAGAAAAACGAAATGTTAACATCGTATGATGGGTCTAACTTAAAAGGTTTAGTTGGTTTTGTCTTGAGGAAGAAGCAAAGGCAACTAAAAGGCTACAAGATAGTCAAACACGTGTGCTGTTACCAAGCTGGGGGAAGCCTAACGTTGCACAAGAGTGACCCCTCTCTTCGCTTGTCAACTAAGTGACCATCTTTTGATTAACCTTTTCACTAACTTTTCTTTCAAGTCTCTTGTTTTTGTATTCAATATTCGTCACTCACTTCATTCCTAGCAACTTGTTATGACCTCAATGCAAACGTGTCTCACTCCTGCTGCATTCATTTTCTATGCACACCATATATTAAAATAACTAGTCAACCCAACCTTTCAATTGAGTTTAAAGACCTTTCTAATTTCATTGCATGATTTGGCAAGAAAAAAAATACTAAATAATTACTAAGAAAATAGATGAACAATGAGGTTAAAAAACTATACTAAAAGCCTTTTCAAGCATCACAATCATATGAACATGATGTTTTAAGTGTTTGCTAAATCTTTCACTGCAGCTCAAACACCCTTTCTGTCATTATTTTTACCGGTTTTCTCATTCTTGGAACAAGACAACAAAAAAACTGAAGCTCTCATAAATAGAGGATACCCATATCATGGACTCACTTTCCGAGTATGAAGCACACGAGAAACATGCCCAGTGTCTCAGCTTTACCCTTCCCAAAGGACAAATCTAGTTCCTCATAATTATGATGAGCTTGTGGTTGGATTGTCCCCATCAAAATAATGTCGAGAGACAGACTCTACTACTAGATATCAATACCTATCGTACTTACAACATGCACTTGAAGCAGTCTAACAACGAATTCAATGAATTTCAAAATTATTTTTTATAAAAACAAGTACGAATTCAGTCACAAATATTATATACATCACGAGGATGGATCACTATGGTGTGCATCATAATATGGTGTCTAGCCTACACATAATAAACTCGAGGTTTGGGCAAGAACACCAAAAACAATAAAGAATAGTTAACTACATAAAAATCTAAAGCCCTTATCATGCCCATATCTAATGGGTTTCCCGACCAACAAAACCTTTTCTTCCAATTAGTTTAACTTGTATTCCCCAGGCATAGAAATCCAAATTTCATCAATAAGTAGCTACTGAATAGTAGTTAGTAACAATTATGTGTGCGTATGTTGAAATACCTGTAATCATGAAATAAATATTGAACGTTAATGCTACTAGTAGAATTAAAATAAATGTAAAGCAATAACAATTCAAACATGAATCCAAAGACCTGTATCTGAATAAGATCAAAAAGCATTAAAGTTTGCATAACATTACATTACAGTTTCTTCCATCACAAGTGTCTTACAAAGAAATATTCACAAATGATAACCAGGTCCCTTACCGTTGTTGGAGTTCCACTAACAATAAAAGAAAGCATTCAAATTCATGCGTAATATCTTTAGTTCTTTTACATAAATTATGATTTTGCTGCTTCATTGTACAGCCAAGACTTGGCATATCATCCCATGGCATACTTCTGTGTCCAGCTGCGGGCTGTAGCCTCATACTTGGTCCTGTCCGTCTTGTACATGTGCGCAATTTCAGGTACGAGTGGATCATCAGGGTTGGGATCCGTCAACAATGAGCAAATTGACAGAAGGACCTAAAAGAATTGGAAATATTAGATTCTGAAAGGGTTTCAACAGCAGCAGCTATCATTCAGATTCAGGGAGCATTTTGAAAAACTTATGGGCAGCTTATAAAAATAACTTAAGATTTCCAGAAGCATTTTTTGGCATATTCTAATAAATTTAATGGTCAAATTTATAATATATGCACTCAAAGAGCTTATTGAATGAGTTCTTAGTTACACTGTATACACAAAAAGCACCCTTAAGCATATCTTACAAAAATCATAAAAATACAGCTCCATATAAATGAAAATAAACAGGTTTCCACTCTTGAATACCCAAATTTCTTAGTATGATAAGTTGATAAAGGAGAGGTGAAAACTATCGGTCAAAAGTATAATTCTAGATTACTGTTTGCACTAAATCGACAATCAATACCTAAAAGCTTCAAAATCCAGAGCAGTAAGCAATAAAATAAACATATCATGAATTAATTTGGCAGTAGGATCTTGAGTCCACTAGTACTGAAAACGTGTTCCAAAAAAAATCACAAATATAAGATACACAAGTAGAACAGGAGACACATCACACAGGTGATGGACAGATAAATTTCACACATTAAATAAGTCCTATTTCTCTATCCAAGTATAAGCTTCAATTTAGTCCCCAAAGGCACATCATCTTTTGCATTTAATTTCAGTAGTCACAAGCAATTCCCCAATAGTATATATTATTCCGCTACTCCCACATGCAGTAAAATAAGCTTATAACAGACAAGATATATCACGGTGATTCAGCAAGTTCAATACAACCTCAGACCTAGTACAAAATTATTAAATATCAGAGTGAACAAGCAAAGTAAGTAAAACCTTGGAAATGGTTAGTGCTGGGCTCCATTGTTCCTTAAGAATGTCAAGACATATGCTGCCATTGCTGTTGATGTTTGGGTGGAACACCTTGGTCCTAAATGCAACCTGCAGTATTTAAGGATATTAGTTTTATCAGCTCTAAATCTAGTCTTATTCAATATATTTACAAATTTCACTACCAGAAACTAAAATAGCAGCAGTTTTGAGGTAAGAACAGGAAAGTAAGAGTGAAATGTATTTTAAGTATGGATTAATTTAGCTACCACTAATTCAACTTTCTTATCAACCTGCTTTTTAATTCGTTGAGCTATGAGATGTCGGTGCACACAAGTGTGCACTGGCTGACAAAAAAGGGGAATTCCCTGAAAGGAAAAATATGAGAAAGCAACTACAGTCCAGACTCATATCCACGCCTTCAAACCTAAAAAGAAAGAGCCTGCCAGTGCTGATCAATGTTTCCTTTGACCAAACATAGGGCTAGAATCTACAAACTGAGCAACATGAGTATCTGATTCATACATCAAATACAGACCCTTTCTTTCAACATCAGTTTACATTTCCAAGTATTAACTTCCATTTCAACTTCTAATATGCTACATACAAAATAGATAGGAGTGCTATAGTGACATCATTCCAAGTAAAAGTGCAAAACACTACAACATGAATGTTATACTAAGCAAAAAATGCTTTCATATGATAAATTTGAGGCAAGATTGATTAATGAACAGAAAAACAGAGGAGACACCACAAAGTAATTTCTACACTGAACAAAACAACAGAGGATACAAGCCGGAGAGGAGGCACTAGAAAAGCTGATTCCTCCGGCAAAATGGAGCAGATAAGCCTCTCCAAATAAGCTGATTTCTGTTGCAAAATGGAATGGGTGAGCTGGTGAGGAGGAGAGAAACCACTAGGCTCAGACTTTTTGCAGAGTGTGGATACCATGCGGATACCTTGCGGAAGATGAAATTAACATATATGTTTTATAGAGGGTAAATGACCTTTCTACCCTTAAAAATAATCCAAACGATACATTTTATAAAAAATAGAATAGGGTTTCTTTCTTTCTCCCAAATTGCGCAATCACAACGTGCCACGAACACCTGCACCTGCCACGACGTGCCAAATGCCCCGCAAAGTGGATGGCTACACTGCGTTGTGCTGGCGTTATAGTGTCACTATAGTGCAGTATTAACATGGTTTGATCCATGTAGAGCCAAACCAAGAGAAGCCATGTTTATTGTTGACCAAAACAAACTCACCAACTCATACAATATTCTGAAAACTCCCTTAGAACCACATATTTTTATCCATGAAAATTAATATAAAATATTGTCACCTATGAATTGACAAAGCAAAAAGACTTGATTTCATTCATGCCCGTGGATAAATTCCTTTGTCACATAGAAAGCAATCTTATTTCTAATGATTACAAAGAACTGAAAACTGACGACACATATAGGGAAGTTTGATTGTGTAAGAGTACAGGAATAAGTTTACATATGTGAAAAAAAGATAAAAAGCTTTGGAAAGAATTGCAATCCAAAGCCAGAACATTGTTAGGCACTATCACTGGAAATTTTCTTCCTAAAATGAATGAAGAAACCCATATTTTGAACCAATAGATGAAAGTAAGAAGGCTGGATATAGTATTTTCTTAACCTAGTACAAGGAAGAAAAAAATATAGTACACATAACTTTAAGTCCCTTATATTTCTAATCAGTGGTTGATGCCTTCATGGGACTCCCCCAGGAAATTCTATCAGAAAATAAATCTATTAACAAGGTCCAAGACTAGAAAATACAGCACTTGCCAAAACCATGACGATCTACAAGCACAACAGGCAAACCATGAACTTCCTATGATGTTTTCACCAGACCAAATAGAAGCAATCATTAAAATATACTAACAGCTAAATTACTGGAGAACCCATATGGCAGACTGAATTCCTCTTACATGAAAATTTTACAATGTCAATCCTTAAATCTTTTTTCGTCATTATACAGTGTAGTTGAAACCATTTTCTAAACTTAACATTATTTCTGGATATAGGAAGATGAAATCTTTAAGATTCAAGCTGGGTGGATGAAATAGAAGAAAGCTTCTGGAGATGTTAGTGATCCAAAGATCTCTCAATATCACAGGAAAATTTACTACACAGCCATTCAACCGGCAATCTTTATTTGAATTACAGCATCGAAGGCTAGGCATCTAAGTGACAAGTGCATCATCGAAGTGTTGCAGATTACTGTGGCAGATGATCCACACAAGACAAGATTGGAACAAATGGATTAGAGGGTAGCATCATTGAGGAAAAGTCAGGAAGGTGGAAGAAGACTGCCTAAGATGGCTTGGCCACATGAGATGAAGGAAAGTAGAAGTGGAAGCTCAATAATTAGAGGCATCAGAAGACTAACAAATACCTCTAAAACAGTTAAAATGGACTTAGATCTAAATGACCATTATAAAGGCTTATTTTTTGACAGAACACAATGCTGCTGCTCAATCCACACAGACATCCAAACCTAGTGTCTGAAAAAGGCTTTTGTTGAAATTTCAGATAGAAATAATAATTTCTAACAAACATGATTGGGAATATATACAAAGAAGACAAAGTGTATTCCAAAAGAAACCACAAATTGAAAGAGAAGTAGATGATGAAGTATACCCACAGAAAACCACAAAAAGAAGGCATATTAGAAGGAAAAACAGGAAATGGAACCACCACACAATTGCCCCCAAATCCTCAACGGAAATTCTGGCCACTGAACACCAAAACAATTAACAAAAGGGAAAACTAAGATAGAATTAAACATAAGACAACCACCCCGTTTTGCATATAATGAAGATAGCTACAAAAAATCTAATAAAGTATTCTAAATCCTTTAGGCACTCCATTTACTGCTGTCAGCCACCAAAGGTAATCTATCCATTGAACCCTATAATATGATGTATTTTCTTTTCCAGTTGATGTATGATATTCAAATGTCACAGAATGCCATATCCACTGACAATTAACAAAGAAGGGACGGCATACACCAGAGTCTGGAACCAATCTAGGGCAATCGCAGTGAAGTTCTTGCATTAGTGGAAACCAGGTAGCAAACAAGAACGCTGGAGGAGATGTACAAGTAAAGGTGGTCACAAACCTTTGCTACCATTGAAGGAGGCTGAATATCATGTTCATGGTCAAATTCATCTTTGAAACAATACATATTTTTTTAAAAATTGAACTTTAAAGACACATCTAAACGAAAATGTTGAATGACAGAGGTTGCGAGCTTATTTCAAAGTGAAATGAATAAAACAATCATTAAACAGACCCCAAAATAATAGTAAAATCAGAAGACTTGACAAAAACAAGCAACTAATGAAACATAGTAGGATAGAGTACCTTTGGTGGCTTGAAGGGATAGTCAGGAGGAAAATGAATTGAAACTAGGAAAACACCACCAGCATATGGGCTATCAGCAGGACCCATGATTGTGGCTTGCCAATGAAACATGTCCTCAGCCACAGGACCTAATGTAGGCAACACGATCTTTTAAAGTTATTAAGGGGAGAAAGTAAAAAAAGAGGGCCCTGACTTGAAGCTAATTTCAAGCAGCCAACAAAGAAAGTTACAATTTTCAGCAGATGAAGTGACTTAATTAATGGATAAATATATAAATAATGAAAACAGTTGGAAGCTTAACAAATAGGATTGTTACTCTAAAGTGAAGATAATCGTTGATTAAAAATCAATGGAGTAAATTTTAACAGCTCTATAATTGGTTGCACATTTGCAAATATCCATTCTAATTCTATAGTGTATCCATCACTTTAAGCCGATTCAAACAAATATATCAAGTATGCATTACACATCATTCCCCAAGCTCTATGCAGAACCAATACATCAAAATAATCACTGGCAAGAAAAGCCTTTCACATATTTCGTCATATTAATAAAAATGCAGACACACAGAGGAAGCAGATATTTGTCGATCCAATCATATTATAGTTTTCTTTTTTTAAACAGCTCTCAAACTTGAATCTAACTATCTAAGAGGTAAAGGAGGAGACAAACATAGACAAGTCACCAAGGAAAACGGATACTTAATTCAACAATTTTAAATAAAGTTATGCATACATACAAACACACAAACACACAAAAGAAAAAGCAGAAAATGAAGCACCAGCATTTTTTCTATTCTATGTTCAATAATCAATAACCAATTTCATAGATTTGGTTATTACCCTTCGAAATTCCACATAAAAATTAAAACTTTCAACTTTAGTTATACATCCAACATAAAAGAGAAGGATAAAAAAACGGCATCAAAAAGTTCACCTGCACTGCACGATGTAGGAGGGTCTTTCTGCAAATCCTTGAGCTCCTTCAAGATGCGTTTCGACGCCATAGCTAAACTTGAAAAAAAAAAAAAAAAAAAGCTGAGAAACACAACGTAAAATCCAGAGTCCACAAATAACCCTTGCAGAATTAAACTTATGGTGAACAGATCGGGAGACCCAGAAACCGATTAACGAAATTAAAGCAAAAAAACCAGAACTTGAATGGAAATTGGGAAAAGGGGCACCCCGATCAGCATGGGAAAGCGAGAGATGGAGAATTAACCTGGGTCAGAACCGTCGAAAAAGAAGAAAACGATTCAGAGAGAGAATGAAAATGTGAAAAATGGAGAGAAGGAAAGAGGGTTGAAGAAGAAGGAGAGAATCTGGGAAGAGAGACAGAGAGAGATTCCAGAAAATTCAGAAAGAAATGGTAATGGATGATAGCGTGAGATCAACGTCGTGACGTTTTCTTTTTATTTCTTTATTATCGTCGTCATTATTACTCCATCTGTCTTTGTTTCAATGTCACTTAATATCATACATTTAAATAATAATAATAATATTTTGTTTTATTCACCCTTAGTCTATTACAATTAAATATATTATTTTATTAAGAATATTGAAACTATTATAATAATCATATTAATAAATAAGAATAATGATAAAAGTTAAATATTTTTGTTTTTTAAATGATAAATAATTTAAAGTAAAAAAATAAAATAATATCTGATATAAGAACATATTCGCTATTAATACTGAATATTGACGTATCAAAATAAGTATTATAATAATTGAATTAATTTTGAAGTAATTTAACTCATCAAATTATAAAATTTATCAATTAAATACATTTTAAATTTAATAGAATCTAATTAGGATAAATAAATTATTTATTATTAATTTTATATTATTTTTAATTAAAAATTAGTTTTATAAAAGTTCAAAATAACAAATACTGTTAATTATTAATGTTTTGCTACAATAGGAATGGATTTGATCAAGCATATATTACAGAACATATGTTAACCATTTAGACGAGTCTTTTAGTATCTAATTAGTTTACATAAAATCAATTTCGCCAATCTAGACATATTCTAGTAAAAGAATTTGTCTAAAATTAACCCCTTTTTTTGTGAATACAATCTAAAATTAACTTAGAGACATATTCTTAATGATATTCAATAATTTCAATAAATTATATTATAATTAAATTCTTTTTAGCTTCAAAACAACGATGTTCCTATACATATACACTTCACGTTTTATTAGAAAGAAAATGTCGTCACTTTCAACGAGTTCTATATATACTCTAGTTTTTTCATTATGTTTTTGCATTCTCCAACTAGTCTTTGTAAAAACAACAATATGTATACTTAAATTAATTTATTATTATTATAATTATTATTGAAAAAATAATTGATGACTTTGAACTAATGATACTTTAATTCTCTTCTCACGGTATAATTAACTTAAATTTTATTATTTATAAATTTAGATTTTCTCCTGCTTTGACACAAACATAACAATCTAGTAAAAAAATATTTAAATGAATATATAAAAATTACATAAAATTTGTTTAAGCCAACTTTTATCACATCTCATTGACGTTTCTTTTCTAAACTATTAAAAAAAATAATTGAAAACAGAGTTAGAAAGACAGTGATAAGGTTGGAAGTAAATCATTGGAAAAACATGAACATGTAAAAAAAAAAGTTAAAGATTGTTACACAGTGGGTGAATTATGATGGGAAAAGAAGTCTAATGCTCTTCCGCACAATTACATTTAAATGTGAAAACTAAAGCCGATCCCAAATTCAATCTTCCAATTCGAAGGTGAACCAAAATGCTTCCCATCTAAAGCGATATTTCTCAATCCATCTTTACTTGCAAGTTCAGCTTTAGAACGGCTATGATCGTGATCCTGAAAAACAAAGGCATATACCTCGAAGATTAGTGGCACATCCTCGATTAATCTAACCATTATTTTTCTTTACGTTCTGAGGAATAGTTTGCTTAAGCCTTTAGTCATACAGACACGTCACTTGGCAATTGCAGCTCTTCCCATAATCTCAACCAATGAAATGTTGCAGTGCCTAATTTTGCTTCGAAATTGGAATTGATTTTCATCGTACATAAACAATATATATAAAGTACTTCTTGACAATGTTGAAATGATTTCAAGTAGATTTGATACGCTAGCAGTACTGCAGTTACATTCACATGCAATATGTCTTTGTCTCTCTCCACCAAGTTAAAACTAAATGCTAGCTCTCAATATATTTGCCTAGAAGCATAGATCCTGAACTCGTTGAGGTTGATTTCATAAGAATCACTCTCTTTCGTGTATTTGCTTATCGGCAAAAAGTTCCCAACAGGCTTTTTCAGAACTCATTTCAATGAGACATTCTGATATGCTTAGTAGTTTCAATTTTCAATAGATCAATCATAGTAGGTTGAATACCCGTTTGACTTGACCATATCATGCCATGATTATCATCAAAGAATTTAAAAGCATATCATCCTATATCATATGAATGTTTTGCAACACTGTCATCCAAAGATCCGGAGACTGAAGAGAGGGTATATTTATCATCATATCATTGCCCAGCCATGCCCTGATTAGGTGATTCAATACACATTGCTAACAACCAGCAGAACAACAATTAAAGGGGATAGACTGTTTTTGAAAGAAATCATGAATTGAACCACAACGTTAATACACAAGAATCAAGAAATAAACTTTCCTACATAATAAAATAACTCTAGTAAAATTCCATCGGTGAGAGCTGTTTCATGCACTCTTTATATACCACTGAATGTTTCTTCTTGGATAAGCAAGAGATCAATTTTCTTGGAACACAAGAAAGAGGGCAGAGTTAAATTATGGAGTTGGAGCAGTTGAGTCCTTGTTGGATTTATTCTCTTCGGAAGATGGCCGGTTCTCTGAGTCAGATAGCCGAATCTCTTCGATCATTCTCACCGCTTCCACCATGCTAGGCCTCATATCTGGAACCTTTGCCACACAGGCCATGGCAATTTGCAACATTTGCACCATTTCTTCTTCAATGTTTTGGTACCTCATTAGCTCCACATCAAAAACCTCAGCTGTCCACTCCTCCCTAACAACAGACTGAACCCATCTAGGAAGATCAACCATGTCATCGCGTCCTGGAGACTGTTGTGGTGCTTTCCCTGTAAGCATTTCCAGAAGGAGGACTCCAAAGCTGTACACATCTGATTTATGAGTGTGCTTACGAGTTTCAATAACCTCAGGAGCACGATAACCTGCGGCTCTAGAAGGGGTTGCAGGAATATTCATAAGCGGAGTTAGACCAAAATCAGAAATGCAGCCATCATTATCTTGGTTGAGGAGGACATTTGAGGATTTGACATTGCCATGGGTGAATTTTGGACCACCAACAGAATGTATGTGAGCAATTCCTTTGGCAATTCCAAGAGAGATTCTTACTCGGGAGTTCCAATCTAATGGAGTTCTTCCACTTGCCCTATTGCCTGTCATTAAATTTTGATCCAATAACTGAAAGTAAGTGCTTTAGCTGACTCAGGTATATATACAAGAACGTAAATCACAAGCAAAAGGTAGAAAATACGATTATCCAGAAGGACTTCAGACTTAAGAATAATCCCAAGAAACAAATGATAACAAATTTCATTTATTTCCAACAGACTGTATCTCTACTGTATGACTGTTTATACACTTTCACTAAAATGACAACAACTCCAGTGTAAACATGCAATACAGAGAGCACATTTATATCTCTATGTACAGTTTTGGTTGCATGCAACACTTAATCGGTGGCTGACAATGCATGTACTAGTTTTATTATATTGACTAAAATCAATCAAAATTTTATATATCTTACTTATGAGGTAAGCCATCTCTCAAAAACAAATACAATAACTTCAAACGAAGTTCCTAATCCAATGCAGAGAACATGAAATCAATTTAATTTAATCTAAATATATAGGATCAGATTCAGAAGTCTATACACATAATATGTAAACTTGTGAAGTATATACTTTACAGCCCACTATGTCTATCCAAAGGCTATTCATGATCTACGATAACGTGTAATCAATCACTTGAAAAATAATTTCAAAGCAAGAAATTGTGTAAAATAGTGATTATTATTCTTTATAAATCACTTAATGTTACAAAAGAAGTTGCATCCTTCGTTTAGCTGTATGATTGTAATTATTTGTTATCCTGGGCCTGGGGCAACGTTTTCTCAAAAAATATTGAGGTGTGGCATTGCATTACTCTTGATTTCTGGATGGAAGACCAGAGGACAGTCTTTTTCTTCCCAATTAACAATGAAATAAAGTGTCATCACTTCTTATTGAAGCAATGGCTCCCTAATACTTTTTTTATACATTTATTTAAACAACAGTAGGTTCTGTAGTTCAAAGAAAATATCATGAAGTCTAAAACGACATGTATTTCAAAGTTCATGCACAACACATCAGCTTTAATATAGTATACAAGAAAACAAGTTAATGTTATAATCTTTAACTGAAACAACGTGAAACAGAAATGCATACCATGCAAGAGGGTAGATAGATTGCCACTTGGGATATAGTCATAAACCAAAAGCTTCTCATCCTTTGAATAATAATAAGCACGAAGTGGCACAACATTTGGGTGCTGGCCAACCCTTCCTACTATCTCCATCTGCTGTTCAAATTCCCTTTTGCCTACCACAACTTCCTTCAACCTTTTCACCACAACTGTTGTTGACTCCTCCAAAATAGCCTTATATGCAGTACCATAACTACCCTTTCCAAGAACTTCAGCAGAAGCTCTCAGCAAATCCTCAAGATCAAAATTATAAGAACAGCCCTCAAAGAAAACCAACTTGTTCTTCTCAGGTTCTTGCACCCCACTACCAAACTCCTCTTTTGGCTTCTCACTCCTCCCACCACTAGGACCCTTGGTTTTAGTTTCTCTGGGGCTTCTTCCCTCATCTTTTTTCTTTAAACAGCAAAGAACAATGACAAGAGTTACAAAAAACAATACCACAGCTCCACCAACAGCAATTGCAATGATAGCTACCTTACTCAGTTTATTTTTTGAGCTATGTCTTTCAGGAGTCGATGATGGAGCAGGTGTTGATGAGGGAGGAGGAGTAGGAGAAACTGCAGAACATGACTTTAGAGGTAATCCACAAAGAGAGTTACCCTCAAAGGAAGAATTTGGGAAAATCTTAAGAGCAGCAGGGATAGATCCATTCAAATGGTTATAGCTTATATTCAAGTGTCTGAGCTTAGTGACATTGAGATTTGGTATCTGTCCAGATAGGGAGTTGTTTTGCAGGTTCAATCTAGTTAGTTGTGTTAAATTTTGTAATGTCTTTGGAATAGCACCAGTGAAGGAATTGTATGACAAATCAAGTACATTGAGGCGGGAAGACAATGAGGTAGGTATATCACCAGAAAGGTTATTATGCTGAAGGTATAGATATTGTAGAGAAGGAAGGGAAGTAATATCAGCCGGTAGACTTCCACTGAGTAAGTTGGAGCGGAGGCTGATATTTTTGAGTGAGTCAATCTTGCCAAGTGTGTTGGCAGGGATGGTGCCTACTAGTCCGATTCCGGGGAGCCGAACAGAAACCACACGAGTGCCATTTGAATTGCAAGTGATGCCTACCCAAGATGTACAAACTGAACTGTTTGGATCCCACTTAAGGTTCCGACGATGGGGAACAGCAGTGGAAAAATCAAGAAGGGCTTGCTTATCAGAACTTAGGTCAGCAAAAACCAAAGGACAAAGAATAACAATGATAAAAAGGAAAGGATGCACTTGAGGGGAGTAGAACTTCATGGAGAGTTTTTTTGCCATATGGTATAAGATGTTGACAATTGAATTCAAAGTAGCCTCTACCATCCTTCATATTTTCCTGGTTTAGCACAATGATCACAAATCAAAAGTGAGGATACAGTAGCATGAAGAAGCAAGCACAAGGCACTATATCACAAAGTTGAATTGAATTACAACATTTCTGAAGGTATATGTAGAATAATTCCAGTTAATTATAGGAGTAGCTGAATTAACCAAGAAACATACAGGCAGCTGTAAGCCTGGACAAAGTTTTGCAATCTTTAAGATTTTCATAATCATTAGATATAAAAGAGGAATGAACCTTCCATAATTAAAAGACACATACTTAATAGTTTAAACATGTTTCGTGTGGCTTCAACTTTGTAGAGTGACAAGTGACAACAAAACAATAGTAACCTAAGCTTGGTGCTACGATGCATGTTATCTACATCAGTCACATTCCCTGTCTATAGTAACTAAGAGAATATGTCACAGAATGAAAATTAGAAGAAGAAAAAAGATACAAGAAGTTGAATGAAAACAATTGCATCAGTTTTAGTTTTCAATAAATTGAGATTTAAAGGTGACACATGACAACTGTACCAGAAAAGAGATCATTCAAATTACAGTTGAAACAAAGTGTATCCATACCTAAATCATAGCTGCAATGCGATTAAACACTAATAAGCAATGAAGAAGATGACCATCAAAAAGAATATGTCAAGAAAGCAAAGGAAAAGAAAATTGTTTGGTCTATCAAATGACCAATATTTACTGTCAAATTAAGTCGTAAGAGTAGGTTATTTCTTGTGACTTTATAACTTGAACTAACATATCTGCAGTTAATTCTCAGAACCAGATTTTCTAGCCAACCATTAACCAAAGTAAGCTTCCTTCCTGACCTCTTATTTATTCTAGACAAAAGGGGAGCTACCAGAATTTCTACATTAAATAGAATGAATGAGTTAAGAACACAAATTTTGTTCAAAAGCATACGACATTTAATGTATTAGGAAGGAAATTCAATGACCAAAAACAGTTAAAGTTGTTCAACAACTAAACTTTTATCAAAAGAACTGCCAAAAACAAAACATCTTTCTCCTCACACCTTCAGATCCTAGACAATAAAACAAAAAGTAGCACTCCACATCACGAAGAAAAACAATAAGCACCTGCACCAGAAAGAAACCCAAAAATCCTTTTGAAGCACAAGCTTGGAATATGCAAAATTGCAAACTAAACCCACAATGTAGAACCCATTTTTGTGTTTAGAACAAAGATGTGAGCATTCACGAACATCGCTGAAAAAATCCAGATCTGCAAGCTAAATTACCGGCACCAGTAGCTATGCAGGGACAAGAAAAAGTAAGATTTTTCAAAGAGAATTACCTGAAAGGAAGCAAAGAGGAAGCACAAGGATTCATGTAACAGTTCAGAAGCAGCATATGTCAGTATATAAGAGTTAAAACCACAGGTCAAAATGCATTCACTGAAGAAACTATGGAAGTTGTTCCCTTGCTGTGGCGCTTCAGATTCTCAAGTACTTCTAAGAACATGAAGAAACTGAATCTGGGTTGCTTTGGGTAGAAGCATAGCAGCTAAAAGAACCAGAGAACTTGCATGAAATTGAAGAGCATTTTAAGCTTGAGGTTCTAAAAATAGCTACAGAAACATGCTTCATAAGGAGTTCGAAAATTAAAAGTAAAAAATGGCTCAAGATTCAGGAAAGTGAGTTCTTTTTATATTTTTATTTTATTGTTTAAAGTTGCAGATAAAAAAAAAAGTGAAGAGCCAAAGAGGAAACAAAAAGGTAGCAAAGGATTAAAGAATAGAGTGGACAGCACAGCAATGCATGATGCACAGTAACCTCTTTCTTGACTAACCAAGACCGAGAGAGAGAGAGAGAGAGAGAGAGAGAGAGAGAGAGAGAAGTCAAAGGACAATGCACACGTAGTAGGACTATGATTCCATTACTATGTGATTACTCCTTAAACGGCTAAGATGAAAAGTACTTTCAAGTTTTCTCAAAAAATAGACAGTGCACATGAAAACAAAAAAACAAGTAATTTTATGGTCTTCTCCCACTCAGCATGTTTTGTTTACAGCCTTTTTTAAACTATTATGAAAAGGAACCATTTTGAATTAACCCTTTTGGCTTTAATTGCATACACCAAAATTACCAACTGAACTTTTATCTTAATTCCTTTAGTAATGTGGGTTTAGGGTGAAAAGAAAAAGGCAATTTTGAAATTAAGAAAAGTGTTCAACTTTGCTTTCTTTTTCTTCTTCATCCATCCTCTTCCTTTCCATCTTCACTCCCTACTTATGGATGGATAAGCTGGGCTGGTAGATGTCTTTGTTAGAGTCTTAGAATTTGTTGATACCTCACATGCATGGAATGACCACCACATTTAATTCAATCTTCCCTTCTCATTGACACATTCCATTTTTAACTTGTTCTACATTCTTCCTCCTTTCTTTTTGCCATACATGCTCGTTTGCTAAGTTGAGAATAAATTTTCTTTCTCGTATCAGTATATTTTCTCTCTTTTTTTTTTTCCTTTTTTAGTAATTTTTTTATACTTTAGTCTCTCTACTTGGTAATAAAAATGTTTTTTTTACATGAAACAAGGGTATTTTTATTAAGTTTTAATTTTTTTAACACTTTTTTCTTATATTCATTTTACTTTTATTACATCTGTCACTTTTTTCACTTTCTTTTTTATTCTCTTTATCTCTCTCTCTTCCAGAGGTGGCAAAATGAGGGCAAAAAAAACTTACTTATTCAAGATGGAAAAAAAAAAAAACTTAAGTGTTGATTGAACTTAACATATTATACTTAAATTGACTGGATCGGATTAAACTCATTTAAAACAAGTTTAGATGAATTATACTTAAAAATAAAAAATTAACGTAGACTTAATATTTAAAATATAAATTCTATATTTTATTATGCTTATTTGAGTCAAATCAACTTTTAATTCTTATTCTTTTATGAGGTACGAGACAAACATTATTATTTTCATAAGTAATATTTATATTGCATAACTATAACAAATTAAGTTATAAGCTAAAAGAAAAAAAAAGTGAAACAAATTTATAAAAAAAATTACACTTTCTTTGTTTAAAGATGCTTAAAATATATTGTTATTTTTCTATATTAAAAATTATACTCCACTTTCCTAAAATACTAATATATAATGTAATTTATTTTAATTGATTTTGGTACTTCAAAAAAAATATTTATTAATTTTTTAAACAATATCTTAGGGTGCTTGGTTGATAAAATTCTTAATTTTTAACTTTAATTATTGCTTTTTTTAAAATTATGTATTATTAAAAAATAAAATAATTGGCATGAGAACAAAGTTAATTAGTGATTTACTTTGTCTACCTTTTCCTTTTATAAAACTGATTTGTAAATTTTTATAATACAAAAAAATTAATGACAGAATAATATTATTTTAACATTAGGTTTAAGTTTCAATATCAAATATCCTGTACAATTACAATATAAATAATTTTTAATTAGTACCGAGTATTTAGTGTAGACACCTGGGTGCTAAATAGTATAACTCTTAGTGATAATTAATGGACATAAAATTATCTCATGTAATTTTAGCATTCAACAACGTGTTTATGATATTTTTTCATTTTTTTTATCGAATTCAAAAAAAACTAAATCCTTTGCTTTTGTTTATATGACATAAAATCAATTTTTTTTTAATTTTACACTTTTTTTTTTCATTTAAAAGACACAAATCTCTTATATAAAATCATTAGAATTGGGTATTCAAACTTAGAGATTGGCTATTCAAAAAAGCCCCCACGTGGTATTTATTTGTTCATTAGTTTGTCGAGAGTGGGAAAAGTAATAAAAAGTCAAATGGAGTCTCTCTATTGAAAATTACAACCTATCATAAAAAAAAATAGTCTAAGTGAGTCCCTACGTTTCAAGAAAATCAACGGAATATAATGGAAAAGACTTAAATGCTTTAAAAAGCTGTTTAGTAATACTTTGCCTATTAATTTTGTAAAGTGTTGGTAAATATGATTAATTATACATTTGATAGATCACAAGTTTAAATTTTTATTACTTTCTTAAGATGTCATAAATATAAATTCCTTGTAAATATTTTTTTTTTAATTTAGTGACTTTTTATAGTTTAGAATAAAACATCATTTTCTCCTCTTAAAATAAAATTGTAAAAAAGAACATTGGATCCAAATCTTGAACCCCCCCCCCAAAAAAAAAAAAAAAAAAAGAAAAAGGCAAAGTCAACCTATGTTGTTAACATAATCAGCTACAATCTCTTACCAAATCCATGGGTGGTATAAAAGGTGTTAAACATTGAAGACAGAGGAAGAAAATGACAGGAGGTAAAAGTCAGAGATTCAAACTGTGTCACGTATAAACTACAATACAAGTGCATGTATGTGTATATACTCCGTGATATTAACAAAAGACAATGCATTATTTACCTTTTATGGGGGTTGGTGGTGCTGAGTAAGTCAAGCACAAGCTTCATCATGGCGACTGTGATACATGACAAATTAGGAGAGAGAGAGAGAGAGAGAGATCTACACATCCAACTACTCATTGTTTATTTTGCCAACTACTTCTACCTATTTTTGGATCTGCGTCTCCATATTTATTTATGACACCATAAATAAACAACAATGTTCTCATTTCTCAAAGTAATAACTCAGAAATAGATAAATTAAACAATGCATAAATGGGGACATCAAATTTCGAATTATGTGTAGAAGACAAAAAATCCATGAATCATCCCACAACTGTACATCGCAATAAATAATGATATATGATGCGGTAATATTCAAATAAGTGAATAGTGAATAATCCCATTGTAATTGTAATTTTTCAGGGTAAAACAAAGTTACTTTGAACAAATTAAATTTATAGTAAAAACATCAAAATAAATAAGTTGAATACCTCAAAGGAACCAATACAAAACGGAAAATACCTTACCTTGTTAAAATTTGCATTCGGATAGCAAAAATGGAAGATGCAACGCAATTTGCAAACTCAAAATTAGAGGAAAATTAATTTAAATATAAGATTTAAAAATATTATATGTCAAAATTTTAAATTTTAATTAAAAAATCACCTTAAATTCTCATATTTATATAAATATTTTTTAAAAATTCATATTTTGTTATATATTATTTTAAAATACTATATACAAAAAAAGTCAAAATTGGAGCTAGTTTTGTTTAAACGTTCAATGGAGTGAGCAGTGGAACTACTTGGTCAATAATAGAGAAACCTATTGAATTTGAAAGCCAACTCTTTGATCATGCTTCAATTTTAGCCTAAGTACATTATTACAGTTGTGGGACACAGGTGAGGAACATGAGCAACCAGGTTGTGAATTGTGGTCCAAATTTCATCATACTAAAAAGAAAGAGGAATTTCAGAAAAGTTGTAAAAATAGTATAGAAAAAGGCGTATAGAAAATATTATATTAATTGACCATATTAATATTAATAGGTTTTTAGTTTTGTCAAAGATAGCATGAGTTTGAATTTTGTGTGTGAAAAAACTCCTTGCTGAAAGAACTAATCTGACTATAATATAATTAAGAAAATTTTATTAAAATTACCTTCGATAAAAAAAATAGATGTTCTTTAAAATATCAAATAGATTTAGAAAAAGAAGACTTATTCTTCTAAAATAATTCACACATACATAATTGCAAAATCCTTTTGAGTTGAATAATCATGGCAGAACATGATAAAATGGGTCCCTAATCTTATATGTAAATGTCAGTATGATTGTGAATTAATGCAGTTCTCTTAAATAGCCATCACCTCAAAACTAATTAATAACAAAGTAGGTAAGTATATGTTTTCAATATTTAAATTAAAAATTATTATATATAAATAAATTTAATTTATAATAAAATATTTATATATATACAAATTAGAAATACTCATAATTAATATCATTCAATGTAAGTGATGTATAGTACATTCAATGTCATTATTTAATGACGGCTTAATAGTTCGAATCTTTTAATAATTTTTTTATGATTGTTAAAATTATATTATCTCTTGCTTTAATTTTAAAAATTATTATTGACTTCTAATTGGATTTATTTAGAAGAGTCAAGGGTGTGTCTTGTGTACATATTCGTACATGTACACACACATGTATCTGTAGATTTTTACTTAAAATTAAGTTTATAAAAATTTATAAAACTATTTATTGATATTTTATCAATTAAATTTATTTTAAAGTTTAATATACATTTTAAAATTTTTGAATTATAAGATTATAAATTTGGATATGCAAAATTATTATTAAAATATTATAATATAATTATCTAATGGTTAAATTTTTCTAAATTTAAATTCTATAATAAGTTATTAAATAAAAAAATTCATGATTTACTACTGATTTTCGTTTATAAAATTAACTGTTGGACTTTAGAATTTTAGTAAATAGATGATTAAGTTTTATATAATTTAAAAATAACCCCTTGTATAATCATTAAGGTATCGCGGCACCATTCAATATTTAAATTTGTTAATTCAATTTCTTATGAAAAATATTATGTAGAGTAAATTTGATAAGGGTAATTCTATTTTTTATTAATTTATTTTATTTCAATTTTTTATTAGGTAAGTCAAACCTTGCGATGTTTTTGGAACAACTCAAGTAAACGATTGTAAAGTTAATATTTTTTAATTCTTTATTTTTAATTTAATCTTTTAGTTATTTTTATTTTATTTAAATTCTTTAATTTTTAAACATCAATCGAAACAGTCATTTTCAGTTAACTATATTTAATTTGTTAAATTTTCTAATGCAGAGATACTTTAAAAATGATAATGTACGTGTATGGTATCCGTATCCAACGCATATCTTGCATTACTTTCTTTTAACATATGTTTCTTCTTTAGATAATGGAGATATTAATATGGTAATTTGACAATAATACTTTTATTTAAATTTAATTATGATTATATCATTTAATAAATTAAAACTCAATAGTGATCATATGATGATGATAACCAACAAATATAAATATTAGATATATTAAAGAATAAAAAAATACTTTACTCAATATATCGTTATCATATTTATATCGTGAATTTTCAAAATATTAACATATTTATTTATGTTTTATCACCATCATTATTATTTACTTAACTAGTGTAATTAAATGAAATTAATGAAAAAAACACTAAAAGTTAAAAGATTAAATAAAAAAATTAAAGAATTAAATTAAAAAAGTAAAAATTAATTTTATAAAAATAATATTAAAAAAAATTGATTTACTTGATAGTGTTGCATGGCCCGTGATTGACAGCCTACCAAACTTATGTATCACTGCCCTCGTTTATGCGAATCGGCAATACTTGGTTGGTCCCATCTATCAGCGAAGCAAAAGCTCTCATCATATCCAAGAGAGGGGGTCGGTTGATATATACACACACATCTTTTATTATGATGAATTTGAACGGTTTAGACCAATCATTTCTATTATTGTCGTTCGTGTTGACATTCAAATATGTATCATATTTGTGTTTGAATTGTATGATGTTTCAAAAATTGAAGGTTATCAAAGTTCTTCAACAAGGTTCTAACAATGAGTGCAAAGTTTTGTATTTTTTGTTTTCAAAGTGAAGTTAAAGGAGCATTCAAATTTGCAGGTGTTGTCCCATGTTCATTCGGTGTAGCTAGGAGAATTTATTCTCAGGTACTAAAAAAACGCCTCTTCATCCATTAAGCCAATTTATAATGATGATTAATTGTATGTATAATTAAGTTATTCATTTTTCTTCTAAATTCCTCTGTCATTGTTGCTGCAAAAAGCATAAACTTTGGCATAAACGTTGTCTACAGAATTGACAGACACTGATGTGAGTAACCAGACACCGGTATAATATAAACCCTATTGCACGGTTCGAAACTTAGCTTTCAACACTACAGCGATAGATGAAGACTGTGTTTCTTTTAAGCCCCACTCTATTTTGGGTTATCCAATTAATGTCGGGTATCACTTTGATTTGTCAGATCATATCTCTTTCTCTGCATGCATAAACCTTTCCACTCACAAGCTCTAGCTGCAATCAATCAATTAGTACTAAATTAACAACTCCTTTGAAGTTAGGAAATGATAATCCTCTTTCTACCAAGCACTGGCAAGTGGTAACTTTTTTCCTCATCCAAAGACACATACATAGGACTTAAAAGTCTGATCTAATAATATAGTAAACTTCTTACAGATACATATAAGTTTTGATAAGACGCTTAATTTTTTGAAGTGTGTAGGTATAACATTATTTCAATGTAAATCAAAGATTTTTGTTTTCAGTGGAACAATTTAAGATTATTTTTAAAAAAAATTATCAAAATAAACTTTACCTTCCGTGATAAAATTGGAGGGATTAGCGGTTCCTAACAAGACAAGCATTTAATTAAGGTTGAAGTGCACAATGAGTCATTGCCAAATTGTTTCGAATCGGGAGCATACGTGAATCTACCTAGGGGCCCAGGATTTAATATTCAAAGAATTGCAGGATGTGAATGCATGGTGTCCATTTCAATTTCAGAAACATCAATTTTAAGATAAATGTAGGCAAATTATGAAAGCACAGGCTCATTTCACAGTTCAAATAGTTGTTCTTATTTTTATACTTATATTTTTGGTCCAAAATCACACAGTTCAAGAGTGACATGTTCCTTCAAGCTATATAGTATATGGAACATGGTCCCCAATATTAAGTATTCATCCGTTAAATGCTTCGTGTTAGTTTGGAGATGATGGAGATTGAAGTTGTGCTTCGCTTCTTACCCAGCTGGCTTGGGGACCAGACACCCTTTTACGAATAGGGCCCAATAAATCACAGTAGGTTTTGCTGAGCCTCTTAAATTTGAACTAGTCCCCGTTCTGATCCATTGTAATATTGCAGGGAAAAAATGGTCAATCAATCAGTTTTCTATTTGTGTTTGGAGTTACTATAATCCAAGAAACTTTACCCAAGGCCCATATCATATGGACTCATGCACCTTGCCTTTCAAACATGTAATTCATGTTTGACCAAATAACAAAATGTTATTGTTGACCAAAAAAGAATAATAATAAAATGTTAATTCATTGTTTGTTCATTAGTTAATAACTAGACATGATCCTAACATTATTTTGTTTAATTATTATCTTAAATTAAAGTTTATATATATATATATATATATATATATATTTTTATGTTGCAATTTTTCTTCGTAAATTAATTATAAGTATTTATTTTTTAGTTTGTTTCATTTAAGTAACTGAAGTAAGTAAACGCAATTGTTTTTAATCCGAATAAGGAAATGCATATTTTATGTGTGTATTTTGTTGGATTATAAGTCTTGAGATACTAGTTTTTTTAAAAAAAAGTTTAGTAATAGGTCAAATTTTTTATGTTCTTTTAAATGAGTTTTTATAATTGATATAATCAATTCTCACTTTCTAACAGACACCCAACAAAATCAAAAGAACATATATCTTAACGAAAAAAGATTCTAAATCTCCTCTTATGAACATAAACAAAATATAATTATTAATAAAAAAAAAAGATAATTAAGAAACTACATTCTTAGTGGATGAATTTATTCCACCCAGCTAGCTTTGAGGTTTGTTTCGAGTTCTTCCTTATGAGTTTTTGTTCATTACTTGATCCACTCTCACCATTTGGGTTGTTGATGTCACCTAACCTAATAGTGTCTCCATTTGTATCAAGCATTGCACGGGTAACATAACTAAATTATTAGAAAAGAAAAAAAAGCTAATATGTGCATATTGGCTTTATTTTCTTTATATTATAGTTGAAATAGGTTGTTTAAAGGAGTTAATACCTAAACTATTATTAATTAACTCACTATATTTATATTAGTAATTTTATAAAATGTAAGAAAATATGGTGATCAAATCTTATCCTTTTTATATGAGTCGCTATAAGAACTCTTACGTTAAGTTTGATCGTTCTCTATGAATTAATATTATAGGCGACTTAAATTAACTTCTTTTTAAGTCCCTTTTCACTAAATTGCAACTGATTCAATTAGACCTAATAACAATTTTTGGGTGTACTTTATTTTCAGCTTAAAAAACGTAACGGATAATATTAAAACAACTAAAATTCGTATATGATATAATATAATATTGTATATATTTATTTTTATATCTCATTTTTTATCTACATGCATTTTAAAAATACACTGATCTAAAGTTGTATAAAAAAAATTTCTCAACGTGGAAAAGGCATTGGAATCATCAATTAAATTTAAAATTAAAATGTACAAATAGATACATTTTAAAATATCAATAACAGTGGCTAGAAAAGTACAAAAAGAGATCATGTATTACTTGTCCATGAGTATATAATGTAAAAATATTGAATATATTTTATTAAATATTTTAAATTACTTGAAAATATTAAATCATTTTTATGTTTTGATCTGAAATATATACATACATACATATATATATATATATATATATATATATATATATATATTTTGAAGATTGCTGTTTTAGACCTCTTGTTACAAGCTCATAGATAAGCAGACACCAAACATGAGAATACATGTGCTTACCTATGAGCTTCAGACTGTGATAAAGTTATATGAGATGGATAATATGACCACTATACGTCTATGCAAAATTGCAAATGCAAGTTGCACTTTACATTTGCATCACACGTAACGTAACATTCACTTACTAAATTGGGAAAGTTTCTCCACTAACTCATTGGTGCTTCACGAAAAAGTAGCCAATACAATCGCGGCGTGAAAATTTCATTCGTATGATTAAAATGCCAATCATCACTGATCAGTCATATGTTTAATTTGAAAGTAAACATAAAAGATATTCTAATTCTGAAGGGATAGACAAACTCAAAATGCGTAGCACTGTAATTGTGAAAATATCAATATTAATAATTTTTACCGTTTAATATTATTAATATATTAAATTTAATGATATCATAAATTTATTATACATAAACTTTTTATTATATATTTTATACATGTTAAAAAATTATTTAATAAATTAATTTAAATATATATTTAAAAGATGTATTAAAAAGCAATGACTAACCCTCCCTGGCATAAAAAATGATAGCAAAGATTCGAGGGACTACTCCTTCAATCATTACCTTTGTTAAATTGAATATAACTCTTTGTTTACCTAGTTATCTAGTCTCTAGCTATAATTAACTGATGCTACAAATTTCTACTCAATCAGTTTTCTTTGCCATTTTAACTAGTTATGTTAGTTTTTCGTTCTTGAGGTAAAGTTAGATCATCAACAATCTACTCTCTAGTATGCATTAATCAATATTAAGATAGGACTAGAAGAAACAATCGAGGCACAAACAAGACGAAAAGTTCGCAAGAATCAGATCAAGGCATTATAATTCTCATTCATATGGTAACTGGGACATTCTTACCCACGCAAACACATCTTCCAGTTTTGTTTTGTTTTTTTTTTCATTTTTAAAGGTACACATATGATCCATAAATATAAGAATTTAAACACGTCTCTTTTTTCTAAATTACAAAGTGGCATCTTCATAGAAAAGAAAAAGAACAATCAAAACATAAAATGTATCTATTTGAAAAAAAAAAAAAACAATTTGATAAAGGATTGTTTTAAATAAAAAAAATAAAAAGAGGAACAAGTAATATGAACTCACTAAGAACACTGAATGGTGAAGAAAATCTAGGAAATAGAAAACCTTCTTCTTCTGGGCTTGGTCAAGTCCACAGGAGCATCATCAATATTGGACGTGTCCTTGGACCCATGCCTGAAAGGGTTCAACTTGCTCAGTTTCTTGGACATGGAAGAGAAGAACGTAGGCCTTTTGACGGAGACCAATGCTTCCTTCCCAGACGACGTCGTTCCAGGAACATTCTTCTTCAAATCTGAAATGTACATCTTCATCTTCGTCAACTCCGTTCGCAACTCCTCATTCTCCCTCAGCAACGACACGTCAGCCTGCAATTGATGCTTCTCAGCCGCCGCCACCGCCGCCGCTTCTTCCTCCCCCGCCCCACCACTCCTTAGCTTCAGCTGATCGTAATACAGCGCGTGAAGCACGATCTGCAACGGCAACCGCTTGTTCTTCGACGCGTGCACACGTGCCTCGTAAGACAGTTTCAGCGGGTCCATCACGCTGCACACCTTCTCCTTCTCTATCTCATCCAGGTCTGGGTGCACCTGCAACAATACACGCGCAAGCGCGTGGAGTTAGAAAGTTAGTTACTAGTTTTACTTTCGAAACGGTGTCGTATGGGAACGAGAGTGTGTTATTCGTTATTCCATACCTTGAGGTAGATATCCACAGCACGGTATAGATCGTCGTCGAGTTTTCTTGCGCCTTTGGGGATGAGAGTAGCGATGCCGTTGAATTTCGAGATGGAGAGTTCGTTGTACGCGGCGATTTCGGCGAGGTACGCGTCGGCGGTTTTGGCCACGCGCTGCATCGCGGCGGAGCAGTCCTCTTTGAAGTTGCCGCCGGCGTTGAACACCGACGTGCCCTTCTCCTTCTCCACGAAGCCGGAGATGATTCTCCGAACACTGTCGAGATCCAAGAGCCTCTCGCCGTCGTAGGTGAACGAGAGCACGAGGAGGTCGTCCAGCGTGACGTGCTCCAGGATCTCCGTGATCCGCTTCTCGAGCTCGCGCTTGCAGGCGCTCGAGGCGTGGAGGTAGATCGCGCACCGGAGAAGGCAGCAGAGGAAGTTGATCGGGAAAGCCGCTTTCTCGCACGGGAAGTGCGGGACGATGGACTGCAGAACCTCGCGTTGTTCGATTCTTGACTCCGAATCGGATTTGCCGGACTCCGGTGACCGGATTCCTCTTCCGCCGCCGGTCTGGTCCCGGACTAGCTCCCGTAGGGCGCGTTCTGTGTACGTGATCAACGCTCCGGCTACGGTGAGGTACTTCGCGCCGCGCTGCTTCATTGCGGCGATTACTTTTCCGAAGGAATCGACGTCGAGGATGGCGAGCTCCTCCGTCCACCAGTTCGGCGGCGAACGGTTGGGGAAGTTTGCCTCGCTGCAAACCTTGGAGCTAATAGCATCGACGCAGCGGTTGACGACGCTGATGGTGAGGTCGTCGGCGAAGGGGAGAAACTCCCGGCAGGACTTGAGGACGAGGACGGCGCTTTGGAGAGTGGAGAGAGCGATTTGAGAGAGGAACTCTTCGGTTCTTCCGGCGAGGTTGCCGTCGCAGTATTCGTCGGTCATCTGGAGGAACACGGAGGCGCAGTGCAGCGGGGCTATGTTGTGAACGGTTATCTCGAAGTTGACGCCGTAACAGAACTTAGCTGCTTTATCAAAAGCTTCTTGGCCTCCAGGTATGTTGGAAAGGTCTATTCTTGTTAGTTCACTTTCCTCTGATTCCATTATCAGTTTTCTGATGTAGTTGCTCTTTGCCACCAGTATGAACTGTTAAGTGTTAACAATTTCATTGGTAAAACTTAATTGAACCCTGTTTTCTCACATGCACAATATCACATAGATAACAACAATTGTCATGAAATGAATTTTTTGGGTACCTTGTGGAGAGAAAAATTGGCTTCTCCAATTGTAACTATAACATCGCTTGGGATTTCTGGGGAGAAAACCCTGCAATAATGCATGTGACTAATTGATTAGTAAAATTTTGCATTGGACAGGAATTAATTAATCAGGGGTTTGAAAATGGAGGAGGAGAGTGAGGTGGTGTTTACCATTGCCCGGTTCTTTCCATGGCAGGGGAGAGGCTAGTGGGGTTGGGGGTCGCCATGAGCTGATGGAGTTGGTTTTTTGTTTGTTCTGAAATGGTATAGGGAGTTTGAGAGTAACAGCGGGTTACATGGTGTGCTCACTTGTTATAAGGAGATTTTTGAACCCTGTAGATTTATTTCATTATTATGATTTTTATCGTTGTGAGTTTGTCAAGGTGGACCAAGCCTGTCATGTTTTCTTTCCTATCAATCGTTGTTTTCTATCTAAATATTTTTCAGCCGAGTGATTATTCCTTTTAAACTAATTCTTGCCACTTCTTTAATTCCCCTGCCTTAATCCATATCCACTGGCTGCTTCCACACAAGTGGGAAGTTGAAATTAATAGTGACATGTTCTTATTGCTACGCACTTGATCTCCATCTGTTAATTGTTTCATTCTCCTTGACTTAGGTTTATCTCGTTTCCCCTGTCTTCAAACTTCATTTTCTGTTTTTACCTTTACGGAATTGATTCTTAAAGTTTAGGCTTTCTTCGGAAACATGTCTGTAGCTTTCCTTCACATAATTTGCATGTGGGAGTTTGGAAATGATCCAATTTGTTCAATAATGCGTGCCTAAATCAAACTACAAGGAGTGGTTATCATTTCAACGAATAAATATTTTCTTACTAACAATTAAAACAATAACTTAATTGTACTTTTGCTTAATTTAATTAAATTATATACAATTTTGGTTGTTTAAGTTCTTTTTAGTAAATTGAGTTTTTATTTTTGAAATTAAATACATTTTATTTTATCAATTTTTTAATTTAAAACCTTCAAATTTTTATTTTTATTCAAATTTTTTTATAGGAATTTAATTATATTTGAACAATTGTGTAAGATTAAGGGTTGGAATTTGAGGTGCGGAAGATATAACATATATTTTTATTTTAGGCTATTAATGTTTTAGGTAGAAAAAAATTGATGAAAAGATTAAAATTTATTTTTAAAAACAGAAAACTGTTTTCAAAACAGTAATCAAACATACCCTAAATTTTTTGAGTTTTAAAAATCATATAAAGTTTGAATCAAAAGATTAAAAGTATTATTAAGTTAAAATAATATTTGAAGGAAGTTCCAAATAAAAGCGCTGTTGATTGTGAAAGTTGGTGTCTGCCTACGCCTTGTTTGGATGGAAAGAAAAAAAAAAGTAGAAAAAATACAAATAAGTATACATTTTTTAGTTTTTAGTTGAAGGAAAAGTGAAAAATAAAAATAAAAATAAAATTCCATCCGTGCTAGCTTTCCTTCCGCAGTGTCAATCGGGTCAATGACCTTCGTTAAGGCTAACACTCCAAGCAAGGGCTCAGTCTGTACCTTGTGAAGAAAAAATATTATTAGGATATAGAAAATGACATCTCTTTCTTTCCATTCTTACGAGAAAAAGACTTAAAACTAAAAGAGCACTGAAGGAATCCCCCGAAATTATAGTATAGAGACACACTTTTTAATACATTTTTAGTTAATAATTAGACTTTATTAAAAATTATATAAATTTAACTTTTTTTACTCTAATTTAATGTTTATTTTTTTTATTTGTTTATACTCTTCTTTAAAAAAATAGTTTACACTTTAAAGAGCAGGCAAGGAAAAAAATGAAAGAAAGAAAAACGACTTGTATATACATATCATATTTCGGGGAGTCATTTTATTAATTCCCAGTGGCAATCGTTTTACCCATCAGCATCTTCTTGTTTGAATATTGTTATTAGTACTCTGTTATTATGCTCCCATATTTCGCTTCCTCAATAATAACTCTGATATGATTTTGAGGTTAAGTGTTAAACCAATGATTGAGGGAGACAAATAATAACAAAACACGAGTTCACTTTAACAACGTGCCGTCGGTCATGGACTCGTAATGTAACACGTCTTAAACTGGATAATGTCCAACTCATCATAAACTTAAAACATTGAGTGTGACCAAATGTTCCTCTTGTTATACAGGTGATGTATCTAAAGTGCTAAAAGGGAAATATGTATACCAAAAGCCATTAAATGTAGGTCGGCAATGAGGAGCTTGATGTTATATGTTCAAATTTAATTCTCAGCATGTCACAATTATAAAAAGGGAAAAAAAATGCATATCAGTTTCTTGAGCACGTTATATATAAAAATTTATAGTTAAAAATAACAATTGATCGAGTGGAGAGAGCTAGCTTAATTAGCTGTGAACTTAGAAATGAGTTATATACAACAAATATTCTTCTTTTAAACATGACACAACAAAATGAAACTTACTATTCCTTTTAATTTGTCTTTTAGATCATATATATATTTAGAATGTTTTTGACGAGATGTTTCAGTTAATTTATAAGTTATTTAACTATTTTATAAACTAATTTAACCAGAATAAAAATATTTAATAAATAAATTTATCCTACTAACTTAAAGTAGTGTGAACTAGTGTTTGAACTTATAATTTATAACTCTTTTTTTCATTTTTATTCTTATTAGTTTAATACCAAACTATTTATTGCAATAATAGTTAATTTATCATAGACTATTAGATAATATATTTATTTTGTTTATTATTTTTGGATTGTTTTTAATAATTCATTGTTTATTTTAACAATTACATTGTTTACATTATTTATTTCAATTACTAATAGAATATTTATTTATAAACAAAAAATGATAGGGGTTTAAAATAAACTAATAAACTCTAAAATTATAATTACCTACAATTACACTTTTGCTATAAATTTTTAATAGTATATAAATGTGTCATTTTATATCATTTTATATTTATTAACTAGATCAATAATTACTTTCAAATTTTTAAATTTAATTAACTGGTTAATTTAACAACTTTCCTTTAAAAATTATTTATTCAAATTTTTAGCTAATCTCTTAGTTAATTGTGTTAACCATAGCCATTTTAGTTCTATAATATGATACTTTTATAGTTTATTTTTTTGTTGCTAAAGTTACAAGTGATTTTACAAGATTTTGGAAATTTATCAAACTGATATATAAACACTCAGTAAAAAGATTTGGTATATAAATTAGAAGTTATGAAGTGTTTAGGAGCATTAGCAACTATAAAAGTAAATATAAATTTTTATTGTATTTGATTAAAAGTGATACTTAGAGAAATTAAAAAAACAAAGAAATTAAATGGAGAAATTTTATTTATCACAGTATAATAAAAAGTCAAGACAGCTATTAAAAACATAACAAAAATTTTAATGAGAAAATGTACTGGCGACTGTAGACCCATCTATGATGTTTAAAAAAATTAAAGTTAATCCATTGAGAGAATTTTTTGAACTAAAAATTTTAAAAATATTAAATAAAAAGAAATAAGACGCATGGTTTATCATTGTTACTGATCTTAATTTGAATGGAAAAGATCACGAAGAGTGTTAAAAGTACATTTTTTATTATATTTTTAATTATTGATTAAATTTAGTAAAAAATAAAAAAATAAAAAATTAAGTATGAAAAAGAGTAAAATTTATATAATTTTTAATAATTTTTAATCAATAATTAAGAATGTGTTAAAAATATGTGTTGATATATATTTTTTTATAACAATATTTTTTTAATCTAAATCAACACGTGAAGGGTTTTCATATGAAGATAAAATATTATGTACATTGTATACCTTGTCCGTTATTTACATTGAAAATATTATATGAATAATTAATTTAAAAATTTTATTTTAATGACTGAAGATAAACACTTAATAATAATAAAATTTTACTAAAAAAAGTATTTATTACTTAAACTCAACTCTTAAAATTGAGGTTAACAAAATTCTTAATTTAAAATTAAAAAAACTTTAAATCTTCCAACACGAGAAAAACTTAAACAGATTTAAAATTGAAATCTTCAAATTTATCTACAGGATAATATACAAGAAACCTAAATAAATATATTAAAGAAAAAGCTTTATAAAAAACCTATCATAAAAAGTTGTTAAGAACGAAATCCGTAAGAGATTGAAATCAGACAAAAAAAATTTATATAAATTTATTTATTTTTAATCTTTACTTTTTTATTTTTTATTCTTACACTCATTTTATATTTCTTTTGTTCTCCTTTTATTATTATCTCTCTTTTTTCCAAAAATAAAAATAATTTAAAATAGTTAAAATCACATGTTTAATTAATATGAAATATTATAACATATTCTTTACAGTCTAGACCCATATATCTATATAACCCAACATTAAGAAGAATTAAACTTAAAAAATCACTTTTTAAAAGTTAATAAAAAAATAATGTTTTTAACCTTCTTAGGATATATATCTTAACAAAAGTTAAACTTAAAAAAGTAGTGGTGTGATTGACTGGTTAGTTGTTACATGCGTCTGGGAGAGGTTGGCGATGGGACGTGAAATGCATGGGGTGGGAATTGAAGAGGAAGATGCATATGCATGTGGACGAGTGTTGTTGTAGAAGAGTTCGGTGACCGTGTCTTCGCCCCTCCAAAAAACGAGTGGCTATGAGGCTTCGACAGCGACTGTATCTTTGATGTTAGGACACGGATCCCACACGTCAGCCATAGACTCCACCATGTCTCGGTGGGTGTCCACCACAGTATTTCTTGTCCACCCAATAACACCATTACCCGTACCTCACACCACCTTCATCGTCCCTTCCCCTTCAGCTCCCACTTCTTATCCATTATTAATTATATTTATATTTCATACGCTGTTTTCTTATATTAACTTTTCAAATAATAAAATGAAGATAATCCTGTTTTAATATACTTTTTTTTTTAAATTAACTGATATAACATTTTAGATGTATTAATCTAATTTTTAAACTATTTCTCCTCAAAATTATTAAAGTGGTTTTGACTTTAGGTTTTAGTGGGCTCACAAGACAATATAAATAATTGTGCATGCATCTCTCTCTCCTTTTATTGATCTGTTTGTTTTCAGGGAAGTGGAAAGAAAATAAGTTACAAGAATATTGATCACTTGTTTGGGGAAAAAGTAAAAAAGTGAAAGAAAAAGTATAAAATAATGTATAACTCATTGAAATATTTCTCCCCGTGTTATGCAATAGAATGGAGGAAAAACGAGTTCAAAATTTGTAACCATCAATTTATTCCTTAAAAAATATATGATAAAAACACGTTTATTATTATTATTTTATCTAATTGAGTGTTTTTTTACTTTTAATTTAAGTAACTTAAAACCCTATTCATTTAATACTTTATTGTTTTCTCTCGCTCTAGAGTTTAGATTTTACGGTAATTTAACAACAAA